CCCCAAAACCCCAAAACCCCAAAACCCCAAAACCCCATGACAGTGAATTAGTATTGAATTATATTAAAGTTACTAATCTAGTCACCGCCTTCATCTGCGAGAAGATCCATTCCTTCACTGATCTTTTCTTTTAGCGAACTCAGAGTAGAAGTAGCTTGCTCAAGATCATTTAGCTCTAAATCGATGATCATACCTGTGATCTTTGGAGCATTGTCAGGTCCTGAGAGTCCCTCAACATATGGGAAGATAAGATCTCCGAATTTGGTTCTCTTATCGTCTTCACTAGCAGTTGCATATTCGTGGCTCTTGATCATCTCGTTATAAGTGTTGTTATATTGGGCTTCATCAGAGGAAAAGTTTACAGGAGGTTGCATAACTGGAGCCCCATATTCCATTCCAGGAGTAGGTTGAGGTTGAGGTTGCATCACATCCATTGCTTCCATTTGCATTTCAGGTTGCATCATTGGAACATTCCTAGGCATATTTTGTGGAGGTCCTGGAGGGAATTGGTTTCCTCCTGACATCATCATTGGCTGTTGCTGGAAAGGAGGTCTTGGCATAGGAGGGGCTCCATAGTTACTAGTAGGCATTACTGGCTGTGGTGGCCTATTTCCATACATATCATTTCTTGGCATCCTTTTCTGTGTTTGACCGCCATATCCACTTCTTGCTGGACCCATTGGGGCTGGTGGCATAGGAGGACCTCCTGCTCCTCCCATGAATCCTCCAACTCCTGGCATTTGACCTTGAGCCATGTTCTGAAGGAACTGAGCAATGAAATCACTGATCTCTGGATTAACACCACCCATCTTTGAGTCTCTTCCTTGATTAGCTCTTTCACTCTTTGGTTCAAATAGAGAAACATTCAATCTTTTAGAGTCAAACCAGATTCCTTTATCTTGAGCATAGTCAACAGCAGCTCTGGCATCCTCTGGAGATTCAAATCATACGAATCCTTTACTTTGAGAGATCGTGACTTCTTCTCCGTTGATTACAGTGTTTTTAGTCAAGATCTTGACATTCATAATAGAACCAAACTGATTGAAAAGATCCTTGAGATCTTTTTCAGTCACATTCTCACCGAAGTTCCTTACAAACAGGTTCTGTTTCTTGTAAGCCTTCTGGAGCAAGTCTCTTCTGACTGATTTTTTCACGTGCTTTTGGACATAAAGAGAGTCACTGTGTGGAGGAATTGCAGACTCATGCATTTCCAAGGCAGCCTTAGCAGCATCTTCTTCTTTAAAGCAGACATATCCGAATTTCCTTCCACTGGCTTCGTCTTGCATCACCTTGACTGAGGTGATATCTCCGTATTTAGAGAAGATTTCCTTCAGAGTATCTTCAGTGACGCTATTTTCAAAGTTCTTCACATAAAGATTGTTTGAGTCTGGCTTCTTCCTATCCTTCATATAGGACTCCAGTACTATACCCTCATCATCAAACTTGGTGTTTTCTAAGACTTCCTTAGCCTTGTCAGCATCATTAAATTTGACGAATCCATATCCATTAGAGGTGCTGATAATATTTCCTCCTTCGCTCTTGACAGTCTTGGAAATCTTACTAGCATCAATAGCGCCAAATTGCTTGAAAAGCTCATAAAGCTCTTCGTTATCATACTTCACTTTGTCAAGACCCTTGACAAAGATATTCTTTTCAGCAATATCTTTAGAGATGATGTCTCTGTCGTTAGGAAGAAGTCTAGACTGGTGTCCTTCAAGGAAAGTTGGGAATCTTTGCTCCTCAACAGCTCTCTCGTAGTTCTCAAAGCTTCAAAGATCAACTCTTGCCCATTGGAGAGGGATTTCCTTGTTCTTGACTGGACGAAGGTGGCCAATTTTAACGTCAATGCCCATTCTATCCTTGAAATATTTCTTAATATCATTCTCTGAGACTCCGTGAGGGATCTCGGAGATGTGTACGATAAAGTTCTTCTTAGCAGAATCCATTTAGGGGTGTCTGAAATAAATTAATATTATTTTAGTAAGTATTTTCATCCAAATATTAGCTATACGGGGTTTTGGGGTTTTGGGGTTTTGGGGTTTTGGGGTTTTGGGGTTTTGGGG